GCTGGGGAGATAGCTCAGTGGAATAAGTGCTTGCCTGGCAAGCACAAGGTCCTGAGTTTGATCCCTGGAACCCCCCCCCAAAAAAAAAACCCTCTGGAAATTAAAAAATAACCATAATTAGGCTGAAGAGCTATGTAACCTGCAGTAAGTCTTCAGTGTAAAATATTAACAAAACTACAAAGAAAAAATAGAAGACAGTATGGTCCATGTTGGACTTGGCTAGTTTATTCTCATAATATATATTTTGGTTATTGGTTAAATACTTGATAAAATATACTTACTATACAAGATAGATGAAACAGTATGCATTGCTTTTTGGTTTACCCAGGGTAATAAATTAATTGAGATGGCTCAGAGTGCTGTCCAAATTCACTGTGTCAGCTAATTAATATTCTTTAGAGTATTCTTAATATTTCTTAACTTTAAAAGAACATAAAAAAGAGTAATTTTAACTTCACTATTTTTATTTTTTAATGTATTTGGAACAGGTCTCACTATACAGCTTGGAATCATAGTAATCCTATTTTCAGCCTCTCTGGTGCTGAGATCACAGGCATGTGCCACCACACCTGGACTCAGTCACCAGCTCAGTGTGCCTGGCACAGTATGCATGACCGAGGTTCCAACGCCAGGCCCTGCACTTGCCTAAGCAGGTGCTTAGTCTGCTGAGCTATCTTGCCAGCCCTTAATTTCACTATTCCTTTGGAAGTTTTTTCTTTTCTTTTTTTTTTTTTTTGGAAGTTTTTTCTGAGAAAACAAAATTTTAAATTATAAAACAACTATAATCACCAAAGTATATTTGGTTATTAATTATGTTTCTTCATCAAATGTTTTGTGTAACCTCAGGATTTGTCTATCTGGAAAATAATGAGTTATAGCTGTTTCTTGGCTCTTGGTTTTTTTTTTTTTTTTTTTTTGGCAGAACTGAGGATTGAACTCAGGCCCTTATGCTTGCCAGGCAAGTGCTTATTCTACTGAGCTATCTCCCCAGCCTCTCTTGGCTCATTTAAAATATAATCATAAATAGAAGAGTACACTATTTTTATAGTAGAGGTGTTATAAAAAAGCACTGAACCATGACATAGCTCAGTGGCAGAAAACTCACATGCCTGAGGTGCTGAGGTGAATCCCCAGTAATAGTACCAAGAGAAAGAGAAGGAGGAAAAAAAAAAAAAATCAAGCATTGATTACTTATTAACTGAGCACACACTACATTTCCAGGATAGTGAATCAAGGAAATGTAGAACTAAAAAAATTTTCACGGGACCACAGATACTAGTTTCCTATAATGAAAAAATTTTCTAGGTTATCTAAGCTATCCAAAAATGGCTACCTTCTTATCCCTCATAAACTAAAACTAGAAAGCAAGGCCAGGATCCTCTAGTTCCCCTCCAGGCCACCTTTCCACATGGGACAGCAGGCACTGGAAACACCTGCATTCCAGCTCCTGTGATGATACTTACCATTAACCATAACTATAGTCTAACTGTAAAAATTCATTTCACTGTGTAGTTAACAAATCCCCCAAAGGACAGCCACTTTAGTGTACTGACTAAATATTGAACCTATAAAAATGACTGGCATTTCACAAACCCACCTCCATTCTGTTACCCCTGAGGTCTCTTGGGATGCAGCCAGTAGCTCTGGGCTGTCCCCAAGCTGGCACTCGGAGGCCTTTCCATTAGAAACACCTACACTCACGAGGACACCCTGCTATGCCAGAGAGAAGACGAACACATGCACACAGAGACGACCTCACTAGCGCAGAGGCCCATGTGGACAGGTGAGGCAGGAAACACACACCCCGGCCTGCCTGTCTGCTCCCCACATTCCACATACCTTCTTGAGTTCCTCAACCTGGCGAGTATCTCTAGCACCAGCTCGCACCTGCTCTAAATCCCTCTGTAAGATCTCGATCTTCTCCCCAAGCTCCTCTTCCATCTCTTCTTTCTCCATCCGCAGCTGCAGGAGTCTGAGCCCAGCAAGGAGAAATTGGGAGCAAAGGAACAGGGTCAAGCCTCCCCTGGGAGAGGTCTGAAAGATATTGAAACCCCCTACTTGGGTGGACCTGCCCCTCACTGCCTGGGCACCAGTCTAGGGGATATGAAGAAGGGCAGTTTGGGAATAAGAGAGTAAAAGCAAAGCATGAGAAAAGCAGTGAGGTGCAAAAGCCACAGATGAAGCCGAGCGTGGTGGTGCACGCCTGTAACCCAGCACTCAGGAGGCTGAGGCAGAGGATCATGGTGAGTCCAAGACCAGCCAGGGTTACAAAGTGAGCTCAAGGCCAGTCTGAACTGCATAGTGAGACCCTGTCTCAAAAGGACAAGCAAAAAAAGAAGAGTCATGGATAAATATACCCAGAAGAGGAACAAGGTCCTTACTCCTGCTTGGTGGCTCGAAGCTCCTCCTTGTTCTTCTGGAACATGCTCTGCCAATGCCCTGTCTCCTCTGAGGTCTCCTCCAGCTCCCTCTGCAGTTCCCGGACCAGCGCAGACATCTTCTGCCTCTCAGCCTCCAGTGCTGCATGGTCCTGGGGGATGGGAGGGACACCGGGAGGCTCAGGGGGGAGAGCTCACTGCAAGCAGATTGAGTGTGTCCAGAGGGAGGCTCAGGCCCAGAGGGCACCGTGGCAGTGGTATCCCGACACCCTGGTGGGACCTGGTAGGATACTAGCAGAGGGTTCTCTCTGCCCCAGTTACAGTCCACCTTTCTGGCATCCACAGGAAGCCTCTCCTGTTATTCCCCTCTGGACTTTAGTCACATATCTTGATGGTACATCTGGCATGTGCTCCCAGCTTGCCTCATAGGTTTCTTGCCCAAGGTTCTCCCTACATCTTGCACATGTCCTTTAGGGACAGGTCTGAGGCAACTATGGAAAGTCCAAATCCACAAGTTCCCCAGGCAGCCCCACGCCTTGTAGCACCCCCCAGCCCCTGCTCTTGTCACATGCCTGGGTTGCGTCCTGCATGCTCCGGCGGAGCTGCTCTGTGTCTCGCTGGCACTGCTGCCGCACATGCTCCACCTCCTGGTCGCGGGAGGCCACCTCCTCCTTCAGGGCCCCCTTCAGGGCTGTCAACTCCCGTTCCCGCAGCCTCAGCTGCTCTTCTACCCGCTGTTTCCCCTCTAAGACCTCTTCTAGAAGCTCCCGGGTCTCCAACAGGTCCTGAGGAAAGGGAAGGTAGAAGCGCACAAGTCACTGTATTAGAATCCATCATTTGTTGATTTACTTGCCTAGTTATGATAATAGAAATCTCCACTCTGGGCTCTCGCCTAATCCAGCCTTTGAGTCAGCCTGAAAGTGCACTAAGCAGGATCCCTAACAAGTTGGCAACCCCCTACACTTTGGGGAAACCGCAGACGGGCAGACTTGAGGACATTCAAGGCTGGGGGGCATGGCCCCACTCCCTACCTTCAGAAGCAGCTCCTTCGCAGGCTCAGAGCCCTGGCCCTGTTTCAGCTTGCTCTGCAGCTCCATCACCTGGCTCTCCAGCCCATGTCGTACCCTCTCCCCCTGGTCCAGGAGGAGCTTCATGTTCTGCAGTCTGAGAATAGATAACATGATGGAACATAACGTGTCAGGCAGTTTTCTAAATATTTCTCACACACCAATTCATTTAAACCTCCTGTAGGTGTTTTTTTCAAATCTTTTTTTTTTTTTTTTTTTCCTCGAATGCCTTCAGGGCACATTTGGACAGCGGGAGAGTTGTGAGGTTCGAACTCCAGCAACCTGAGGCTGACAGCTTTGTGGAAGCAGCCACTTAAAGGACTGAGCTAGGGCCAGGCCCCCTCAAATCTTTTATGTCTATTTTATTTGCTTCTGTTTTGAGGTGCAGAGGCTAGGACCCCTGGCCTTGTGCACGCTCGGCAAGTGCTTGACCACAGAACGACATGCCCAAGCCCCGTGTTCTCCAATGAAGCTCTCCCAGCTACCTCACTTAATGCTGCACCCTGCTGCCCAGCAACCAGGCCCTCTGGATCTGCCGTACGCTGCTCTATCACTACCTACTCACGCAGCACAAATTTACACATGTACTGTCTGTTTATTGTCTGTTTCCTCTCACCAGAAACTAAGCTTATTGAACAAGGTGCAGTGGCTCACACCTGTAAACCCAGCACTCTGGGAGGCTGAGGCAGGAGCATGGCAAGTTTGAGCCCAGTCTGGGCAGCTGACCAACTTATGGAGGCCCTGCTCAAAATAAAAAGTGAAAAAAGGACTGAGTACATAACTCAGTGGGAAGCCCTAGATTCAACCCCTAATGCTGGGAAAAAAAAAAAAAAAAAAAAGAAGAAGCTAAATTTCTG